TTTTAATTTGCCCTTAGGTTCTTTTCTAGTTTTAGGCTTGTGATACTTGTTCTAGACATTTAGAATGCTACATTGGACCCTTGGCGAATTGGATTGGATTATGTATTTCGACTTGCTCATGGTGTTGGGCTTGACTTTTTGACTGAAGGGTTGAAATAAATATGCTTTGATTAATAAAAATTTGAATTTGATCAACCTTTTTATTTAGATATATAAAAAATTTATAGATTTGAATATTCATTTTTTATTATATTTCCTTTATAATTTTAAACTATATTTACATATATGCATTCAGACATTTGAATTTTAATACCTTCAAATCTCTTGTTTTATTTGTGTTTTCCCGATTGAGATCTCTTTGACTCCAGTATTTTTTTTTATTTTGGTTCTCATCTCTCATTGATTAAAAATAGAGGTAAATTTATCACTTTCAATTTTCATTTTTGTTTCAATTCTTAACCCATCTCTTCTTCATTTGAAACTTTTCAAAACTACCTAAAGGGAAAAAAAAACGGTTTAGTTAGTGGTCAAGTTAGCTTAATATTCTTTGCTTTTCCTCAAAGAATAATCAATTCTTAGAATTATAATCAAATATATTTAATTATTATCTTAATTTAGAGATGATATCTTTTGATGTGGATATATATAATGTCGCATAATAGCAAGGATTTTCATCAATGTTAACCACAACTCTAAAGATGATGATTTAATAATTAAAAAAAAATATTTTTATACGGCCTTCGGCTCAAGTTAACCATAATTTTATTAAGGACCAGAACTTATGTTTTATTTTATTTATTTTTTTCCTCTTCACTTGAGCACCTTGCCTTCACAATTTACCAATCTTCAATTCTTGGTCAAGAAGTTCAATTGCATCATGAATATTCGGAATACCAAAGGTGTGGGGCCTCCAAAAGTCGAGCTTCAGTTATTGATAGATCATGATGGAATAGATTTTCATTATAGTATAAAAATTGAAACGATACAATGTGGCAGGAAAAAATTATTTCACCAGCAGCGAAATCATAATTTCATGACTTCACTAAGATACAAGCTGAATAAAAAGAAAAGAAGACGAACAACATCCATGAATGAATGGTTATGATTGACGGTTGCAAACAACACGTCCTTCACTTGAAAGATTTAAAACAACAACTCATCCATTGACTAAAGGTGAAATTCAACACACATTGATGTGGCCCTTTATATAGATTTAGAGATACCAACTAATTAATTAGGTGATTAAAGACTTATGGATAACATCCTAATATTCCAACAGTAGCTGGAGCTGTTGATAAGAAAAGAGATGAATAGTTGTGAGAAGAATATATATATTAATGATGGAGATAAAGTGATAAGAGTTTGATCAGAGAATAAGCTTCTCAGATTCTCTATTACTGGACTGCGGGACCTTGAAGAAAATAGCTCTCGTAAGATCAATGTAGAGGGGTAACTGAGCAACGCCAAAGAAAAGTCATAGGCAAGATAGTGACGGCATAGAGTGGGAAACAACCTGCTGGAGGTGTTCCCTGAGCAGAAGGAGAATGCGGAACAGAAAGAAACCAAGACGGAAGCGATGGACCCCAAGAGGCAACTCAACCCCAAAAGAAGTTTGCAGGCAAATCTTTGCGGAAATCTTTAGGTTGCTGGCGTGGAGAGTGAGGATGGAGAGGAACGTGATGAGAGAGGTGATGGAGCAGAAGAGAGCCAAGAGGGATGTGAATGCAAACAAGTTGAAAGCCGAGTGGCGCTCCAAGTAAGGTTCCGGTCTCCTCCTGCGTACCGCCGGGTAAAGTGGTGGCCGTGCGAAGGCCACGCCGGCAATAAGCGCAGCCACCACAGAGCATGACTCCGACGTGCTCTTCAGCCAGTCATTGCCTTGCTTGAGTAGCTCCTTGTGCTCACTTACGAAAATGTCCTGCGGTGTCTTGTGCTTTTGTTTTGGAGGAATTGCATTTGTTGCGGCGTTTTCTCCTCATAAACTTGAAATACAAGAAATTAAGCTCACATCAATATAATGACACATGAAACCATGCATGGATTGAATAAATTTGATTGAGGAGGAGGAAGAATACTAGAAATGATACCAGAAACCATTTAACTTCCCACTTGCATTTGCAAGGCAGAACCAGCAATGTGCCAGGGCTTCTGAAGCGAGAGCTTGGCGGCCAAGTGGAGGATAGTGTTGCCGTCTTTGTCTGCACGTCCCACGTGGCTTTCCCCACAACATCTTCTCCTTCAGGTACTTCTTCAGATGCTCAAATACATGTGGTTGCCTCTCTCCACAGTCACATGCAATACATTTTGGGCTAGCGAGTTCGTTTCGTGGATTGGCCCCTGGTTTATCTTCCAGAATTTTCTTCACTATTTCCAGCACTCCATTTTTCGCTGCAAATTAACATATTGCTCATTTCTCCCCCCTTCATTTTCCTTCCTCTTCATCACACCCTACAAATTAGTCCAATCAATATTATGGGCTAGCTATGACAAGTTGACAGCGGACTATTCTTCTTTCAAGTTGATAATTCATGAATTTCAAGAAAATATCCTTTTAAAGAGGACATAAAGATTTTACGTTTTATAAACGAGAATATTAAAAATAATAAATCATGAATCTGAAGTTCAAAGGATTTAAGTCCATGAGTATATATAACATTTCAGTTATAATATATAAGAGTCCCAGGACAAAGCAACACCTGCAACTTTTCTTGCCTCATTTTGTTATTTATTATGCATGTATCAATTGTATAGTATATACACAGCACTTTTGTTTGCATATTTAAATAGGAACAATATATATTACATTTAGTTGTTCGTTAGCATTAACTTTTTCATTAACACACACACACAAGGTGGTCTTTTTAATTATAAATTGTCTTGAATTAATTATCATACAAAAAATGCCTATTTTTTATAAAATTTGTTATTATCTATCCTCTCTTTTTAAAAAAAACATCAATATGCAATGAAAAATGAAAACTATTTATAATAAAAACCTCGTTAATTTTATATTCTATATAATTTTTTAAAAAATCAATATATTAAAGATATAGTAATTATCATTTAATAATGTATTTCGACTTATAAAAAAATGATTAATGAATATTTAAAATTAAATATACTTTTTTTTATACAACTCACGTAGGCTCAGGCAGCATCTGGTTAAATTCAAGCTTCCAGATCCAACTTTGACCAACTCTTGGGAGTTTTGAAACATCAATTCTGTCAGCAAGATCAGAAAAAGAACACCTCAGACTGGCTTTCATCATTTCTTAACCCTCATTTCTCACTCTTTTATTTCTTTCTTTTTTTTTTTAATGAATATTTCACTAAAAATATTTCCTTAAATCATAATATAAATAATTATAATTAATTTATATTTTTTAAAAATAGTTGGTTTAAATCTTAATTTTTTAAAAAATTTATACCTTTTCAATCATACCCTTAAATATAATAAAATATAATATTTAAATTATTCAAAATATCTTTATTAATTACTCAATAAATAAGTATATATCAAAAAAAATCCATTACGCTTATCTAATATCATATATTTTAAATTAAATAAAGCTTATTAAAAAATATTTTATATTATAATTTAGATAGAGTAATTCTTAAGTTGCTCAATATATATAGAATTTTTTTTTATAAAATATAAAGAAAGTGAGGATCATTTATGCTGTGAGTTGTGATTTTTAGTCATAATTAATGATAGAGAGTTACCTTGTAGTTTGTGTCGATCCACTGTGATAAGTTGTTTGTCAGCATCTGCGCTTTGTTTCGCATCACCCGCAGTTTGCAATTATTGGAAGATAGATTGCTGCACAAAGAAATCAAAGTCCTATGAAAAAGTGCATAACATCTATTGCATCCCATTCAAAGGTGGTGAGCCGGTGGCGGATTCTATGTTTAGAAAATTTGCCCGAATAAAGTGTTGCCAACTTGCCATCCATGATATAGTGATATTACACACAGTAGTTTATTATCTTGAGGCTATTTTCTTGAATGTAATAATAAATTCTTGTCAGAAAGAATAAGTTTAAGTTAAAGATTTCTTAAAGTGATCACATAGAGAGTTTCTTGCCGACCCACAATATCTATAAAGATTGGAGAGGTGATCAAAAATACCTTTATGTTGCTGTGATTTAGTTTGTCAATGTTGTGATTTAGTTATAATTAAAGATTTCCAAGTTTAAAAATTCAACTCTGATATAATTAATGATAGAGTTACCTTTTAATTTGCGTTGATTCATATTGTTTTCTTTTTAGCTGCATTTATCCTATGTTAGAGATAAAAGTTATTACTCAGATATTTCTCATTTCAAGGTGTAGCATATTAATAAGATTACGTAAGAATCAGGACACAAACTATGGGTCCTGCAAAATTATACAATTTGTTATGGTTAATAATATGGATTGAACACGAGCCCAATGAGCCAAAATGTGGCAAGTTGGGCACCACTTAATTCTGAACGTGCCACGGACTAGTCCACACGGCCCATGGGTTAACTCTTATTATTATTATTATTATTATTTTCCTCCCAATATAACAAAATAGTTCCTGGAAAAGATTTGTTTCTTAATTAAAAAAAGTATACAAATTAGATGTGAGAAAGCAACTATAATGATAAAACTGTCAAAGATTAAAGAATACTCCTTGAAAATATACTTATAATATCATTCCCTCCTTCCTTTATTATTATGAGACAATTTCCTGTAGTCCTTCTCGCAAGAATTTATGCAATTTCTTTAATTCTAGGTCAAAAAATATATGTAAAAAGAATAATTTTTAAAAGATATTAAAAAAACAAAATGGGTTAGCAGGCTAGGTTAAGAAAATGGGATAATGATAAAGAGATTCTAAAAAGACTAATTAATTCAAATTAGGTTCTAATGTCAAATTTCAGAAATTGTAGCTTAATCTTTTAATTTTTAAACGTATTGTGATGAATTTGTAACTTATTTTTTAATTTTACGATAGCTAGTTGAAGAATAAAAAAAATTATTTTTCTATTAAAATTTAGAATACAAGTTAAAAATTCATCATAAAAGAGTTGTGAAATTGAGAGATTAAGTTATAAATTCCTGAAATTTAACACTTGAGATCTAATTTAAATTAATTGATCCTTTTAAAACTCTCTATCATTCTCCCTAACAAAATTGTAGCTTGCTTGGCAAGCTTTCAACTTGAACCTGCCAACCCACCACCTTTTTAATAATTTCTATTACCGATTTTTGCCTGTTCTATTGCCGTCAACGCTTTGTGGTTTGTTATCACATGCAATTTGCCCAAATTAAAGCGTTTCCATATGCACAATCCATAGTGATCTATATATATATATATATATCTCTCACACACACACACACAGTTTCTCAACAGAGGAAGAGAGGGAGTAATTTCTATTACCAATATTCTGCTTGTTCTGTTTGCCATCAACACTTTGTTCCCCTTTTGGTTCGTATTATCACCTGCAATTGCCCAAATTAAAGTGTTGCCATGTACCATAATCAATTGTGATATTTATTTTCTTGAATGTAATAATTGTTGGTTGGAAAGAATAAGTTTAGTTTGGATAACATCCCAAGGACCAGAAGCCAAAAAGTTCATAAAGGTTGACATTGGATATGATCTATCCATTAATGTTGGGCATAGCTTATTTAACAAGAAGCACTCCTCTGTTTCAAAATATAAATATTTGTTTTATTATTTTGATTTAAAATATAAGCAATCTATATATATATATATATATTATATATATATCATTTTTTATTTTTATTTTTATTTTTTTATTTATTACAAATTTTTGTATAAAATTATCTCTAACTCATCATAAGGTGCATTAGTAATTGGGAGTGAGAGTAAAAATATATATATATATATATATTTATGGAAAATGATAGCTTTATTGATATACAAATTTTTGTTCAAAACTATTCATTCTGGGATCAGAGAGAGAGAGAGAGAGAGAGAGTGTGGTGGGTGTGAGAGAGAGAGAGAGAGAGAGAGTGTGGTGTGTGTGTACTATATATAATTCACTTTTTTGACCTGTAAACCATTTTGGTGGGTATTTATCTGAGTGGGTCTCTCTTCCAAAAAACTAGAAATTATCTTGGCAAAAACCAACTCATTTAAGTAGCTAGTTCATTAAGCATCTCATTCTTATAGAAAAGGTTAAAAAAAAAAAAACCAAGAAAAGATCAATATCTCCATGAGAATAATGATGGGTGGGTGAAGGGCGAAAAACCTTTTGGGCCATCGGTCTCGCGACGAGGTTTGGGTATCACATAGGCTTTGACACGACCTCCAACATATGCTAATCTTATACTTCCAAAGTCCATCCAGTATTTGACCGCACCAAACGTGCTTTTGTTTCTTCTTCCTCAATGTCTTTATTTCCTCTAATCCTTGATTAATATATATAAACAACCTAATTAATTAAGCACAAGTGCGTATAACAGAATTAAAAGCACCATCAATTATCAGGTAGAGAAAGAGAGAGTACTGTACCAAAGCCTTCCAAGACAGACCAAATAATAAAACAGGTGAATGCCATGAAAATGTCACGACATGTCCGATAATTTTTCGGAACATCATTCCATGTTCACAGTTGTAATCAATTGGGTTTTCTGTATCCGCAGTGCTTCGGGGACGAGCTACGACAAAACATGAACTTCATTCAATTTTCAGATCGTAATATAAAGCAAAATTAAGATAAACAAAATACTTTCTTTTCATAAACATGAACTTGCCAGTCTGCTGGGATTTTGACTGATGGTTGGTGCTCCTCAACCGCTTCACGTATATACCTTCCGCATGAAAAAGGAAAATACATAAATATAACAATAATTACAATATTGATTTTTATATTTTTGAAAAAAAATAATACTCCCTCCGTTCTTTTTTATAGGCCAAAATAGACAAGAGTTGGTTTTGCTATTTATAAAACAATTTACAAAATATAAGTAGTAATTAATATATATGTTTTCACTGATACCTTTATATAAACAATGGCCTTAGCTAATAATTAAGAGTGTGTGTGAGAAAGATTTAATTAAGGGCATTTTGTAACGGAGTATAATTAAGTGGAGCATGCGTGGGTGCCAATGATGAAGAGGGCAACTATATTTGTGTGTCTGTGTTTATATATATATTCCTCTAGTCCTATTTATAAGAATAAAAGAAAAAAGATTAATTTTAATCCTATTTATAAGGCATGCACTTAATTATTTTTATGTTCATTTTGTATTTCTGCCCTTATTAAGATAGAAACAAATTAAAAATAATTATTTTTTTATTAGGAGAATGGAAGTGAAAACTTATTAAATTTTAGGATAGAGTTAATAAAGTTTAAAATTTTATTCAATTCAAGTGAAACATGCTAAAAATAATTTATAAATAGAATTAAAGAGAGTACTTACACTCATATGCCAACATATTATACCATCTAAAATTGCTGCTGCTTTTGAAGGCAGAAGGTTTGTCGGCTAGGATATGGAGAGGGTAATTCCCTTTTCATCCACAGAACCCACAATTTCTTTTTGGTACATATTAATGATTTCAAATGCCAACTCTGCAGTGAATAGAATAATTCACAGGAGCAAGAATTCATTAATTAAAGGCATCAATAAATAAATCATTAATTAGTTGTAAATTATAACAAGTCCGCCCCCTACTATGTTTACCAATTACTTTGGACTAAATTTTTGTGGTATTTAAACTTCACGATGAACAATTTTAAAAATAAATATAATAAATTTTTTTGAAATTGATAATTTTATTTATAAATAAAAAAAGACACTCGGTAATTTTTCTTATATTTGAGAAGGGGAGTAAAATTTACGCACCAAAGTAGTCTCGGTAGAGGGTGCAATGAAGGACTGTCTGGCCATCGCTTGCTCTTCTGCATGGCACAAGAGACTTGTCGGCGCAACGAGATTGGAGGTAAAAGAAAACATCGTTATGTCCATTTAAAGCAGCCAAGAACAGAGGAGTCTCTCCATTATTGTTCCGTTCTTCAATCAACACGTGTCCTTGATGACGATGGTGATCAGCTTCAATGATCCACTCGCACATCTCGAGCGACCCTATGGATGCTGCTCGATGCAACGCTGTGTCACCTTCAACATTCTTTGTTTTCAAACTCTCCACCGCCGACGACGTCTGCTTAATTTCATCCACCAGCTGCTTAACGGTGATAGCATTGTTCTCGTTCGCCGCCACGTGCAACGCCGTGTCTTTATCACTGTTGACGGGCATCGTGTGAATCGTTGCGTTGTATTTGTATGCCGTCACCACTTCGTTCCACTCACCATGGAACGTCCATCGGCATAAATCCACCGCAATCATCGAAAGAGGTTGAAAATCCATAGATGATGAATCCATGTGTTCCATTTTGCAGCAATGCGAGAATTACTGGCAAAACTCTCGTGGTCGTGTGGTAGTCACCTTGGTGCTTGGTAGCCTTTTATACATGATTAACTACCAAAATCATGTCCCTTTTGTCTGAAAAAGCACAGAGCAGGAACCTCTGGGAAGCAATTCCAATAGGGCCAGGGGAAATGACATTAAGTCCCAGTAGAGTCATTTTATTCCAGTAAAATTCTAATAAATTTTAAAATATAAAGTAAGTCCCTTAGATGTGAACTGGTATTTTTAAATATAAAGTCAAGTCACAACAAATTTGGGAGAACAAAATCACAAAATATAAAAATATTTCAAATTTAGGAGACAAATTTTTAATTGTGTGGTCTTGAATCTGCAAACTCACTTTTCCGATTTTACATGGAAAAAAAATTTTAATGATTAAATTTGAAAAATAACATATCATCATCTGATAACTTCAAGGAACTTGCAACTTAATTTGTCTTATTAAATTTGCAACTCATTTTCTTAATTTTAAAACTAGGAAAAGATTACATTATGTAAAAAAATACTAGTTAAGGATCTAAGGGACTTATTTTTTTATTTGGAAATTTGTTAGGGCTTTACCTGAATAAAATAATAATCCTTTTTGAACTTAAATTCCATCCTTCCATTACAATAATATCACCTTTCCTTGTATGGAAGGGCAAGGTATTATTATCTTTTGCTTTTTAATTAATTTCAATTTTGTTATTTATGTTGTGGAACACGTTGTCTACCAGTTCAAATCCGACGAGCAACCGAAAAAAAAAAATTAAAAAATCCATATTTTTGTTCTCTACTTTGTTATCCGTTTCAAGTCAGTCGATCTATAATCGATCATATATACCTTGGACATATTCTGAATTTCTGATGAATAGCTGCTAGCGACACTCAGAGGGATGAAGCCTAGAAAATTTATTTGATTTGGAGGTAAAATTCACGACATACATTAATATACTATTTCGTTTTTAAATATAAGAAAAAAAAACCAACTCATTTAGTTTAAAAAAATTAGTTAAATATAACAATTTTGTCTAGAATTAAAAAATTTGGATTAAATTAATGAAACAAATTTATCTTGTGAAAATAAATATTTATTTTATGAGGTGAAATTTGAAAAAAAATGTCATAAATGTTAGAAGAAAATTATCTCTATATATAATTAAGTTCTTGACTGATTGCCTTCACAATAAATCAAGAACATTAAGTTTTGTCCAAAATAAAAACCATATGTGCCGTCGTATATAACAAAAAAGAACGAATATACTAAATCAATTACTAGATTAAATTAGCTTATTTAGAGAAGCAAAAAATATATATAGCTAGGGGGGGCCGGACAGAGTTAATAACTCAAATAAATAAATTAAAGTTTAATAGTAAATAAAATGTACCAAATGCTAAAAAAGCCATAAATTCATATCTAGCCTTCACACTTCAGCAATCTTGAAGGTTACAAATTGGAAAGAACTATTTGTCCTGCAAAAAGCAACACTCATATCATTTATTCCCACGCGTTCCACGAATTAATACAGATAGATATATTTTATTTTCTTTGTGGCCGAAGACCACAGAGAGAAACAAACTTACTTGAATCCCTACAGTATTATATCGGTTTAATTTAAGAGAAAATTGGTGAAAAGGACCTAGTTGGAAGCAAAATTAGTCAAAAGGACCAAATGTACTTCAAGGACTAAGGCAAATATTTTATTTGTTAAATAATTTGAACAAATGACCGACATGCCCCTTTGTATTAATTAATTTTCTCTTCAAAAAAAGCACAAAATCTGGTTGTTGGAGCTCCAATCCCTCCTCCAATAGTGACAATGTGCCTATCGGAGCTTTGGGCAGCAAGTGAACGGTCGTTGGAATAAACCAACACCACTTGATTACATGTAATCATTAAGGATTACATGTGAACTCAACAACTAGAAGGTGTAAGGATTTTAATTTAGAGTGTAAGGGTTTCGGCTTTGGTCCAAGGCTTTTGACTTAAGATACAAAAAGTATAGTTTGGGTGCAAGGTTTTTGGGCTAAGGTGCAAGGCTTGTGGCTTAGGATGGAAAGGGTATGGCTTGGGTACAAGGCTTTTGACTTGAAGTGCAAAAGTTATGACTTATGTGCAAGGTTTTTGACTTGAGATGTAAGGGTTATACCTTAGGGTGCAAAAGGTATGGCTTCGGTGTAAGGGGTTTGGCTGGGGTGCAAAGCTTCTAGCATGAGGTGCAAGGATTATGACTTGAGTGCAAGGCTTCTAGTTTAAGGTGTAAGGCTTCTTGCTTGGATACAAGGGTTATGACTGGGTTACAAGGCTTTTGACTTAAGGTACATGTGTTACGGCTTAGGGTGCAAGGCTTTTACCTTGTGTTATAGCAATGTCATTTTCATGTAATATGTAACATTTTCATAATTTGTTAAAGATTATATGTAAATTATTCCTTAGGCATACTTGCAAATTTTTTCCCATGTCTATTTACATGTGTAATCAATAGTGATTTACATCTAAATCTAAGGCACTAATAGGGGTGTCCTCTTTGTGTGATTGATTTATATGTAATTTACAGGAGATTACATGTAAATTATTCCTTAGGCATGTTTGCAAATTTTTCTCATATTCATCTCATGTCAATGATTATGAGATGAAGAAAAGAATATTCCTTAAAATAGTTTACCAAAATTTGTTTATGCCTCCAATAAGATGATTAGATCAAAATTTGTGACAAGAAGATTTTCCATTTAAATATGCACGATTTCAATTGCAATACTTAAATGCATCAAACCAACACTACAAAAAAATTAACTTTCAGTGGTGACATTTGTCACTACTAAAAGCTAAAACGTCGCCATTGAAAACTTTCAGTGACGATAAAAAGTTGTCACAGTGTCACCGTGAGAGTTTTTGTTGCTGATTCAATTTGCGGCGACAATAAAAGTCACCGCTGAAAGTTAAGAATCGATGGCGACAAATGTCATCGTAGAAAAGAAAATTTGTTGCCACTGAAAGATAGTCACCATTGAAAGTTGAAAATCGATGGCAACATTTTATCGCCGCAAAAACCACACATCAGTGATAACTATTTTGTCGCCGCTGAATGCTAAGTATCCGTGGTGACATTTATCATTGTGAAAACTACCATCAAATAATACAACAAGTAAATAATACAACATCTGTTGCTGCATTAAATAATACCTTAACTTTATCTTAAAGTTATAATTTAACCATAGAATATATTAAATGAAAACTCATTATATTATTTTATATATTCATTATAAAATTATAATAATACAACAAAATTAATGTCTTAAAATATTAAATATTAGATAAATAAAAATAAAAAATTATGATAATAATACACAATCAAACTTTTAGCGACGACATTCAAAATCGCCGCTAAAAGTCTCATTTTCAGCTGCAATACTAAAAAGTCATCGCTGATTCTCAACTTTCAGCGATGACTTAAATGTCGCTACTAAAACTTATAACATAAGTTTCTTTTAAAAAAAATTATAACATATTTTAAAATATATTGACAATTAGTGGTGACTCTAAAAAGTTATCGTTGATTGTCAACTTTCAGTAGCGACTTATATGTCACCACTGAAACTTAGACCTTTGGCGACGACATGAACTTGTTGTTGTTGAAAGTCTGACAATCAGCATTGACTATATCTTGTCATCGCAGAAAGTCACTATTTTAGCAGCGACTTCAAATGTTGCAGTAGAAAGTCACATTTTCAGCGGTGACTTTTATTGTTGTTGCAAATTGTTCATTTTCAGCGGCAACTTTTTAGAGTTGTTGCTGAAAATTACCGCTAAAAGTTATTTTTTTTGTAGTGCAATAAAGTATTGTGAAACTTTTAGTCTATTTCATACATAGATTCAAAATATTCCCTTTGAGATTGTGCAACTGCTACCTTCTGCCTTCATCAATCTTAGTCTCACAATCTCATAGCTAGCCTTCAACTTTTAGTCTCTATCCCATGCGTCTCTAACCCCAATGAATCGCACATGAAGCTCGAGAGAATCAATTAAGAGCTAAGTTGGTAGAGAATAGGAAATTTTTAAAGAAGATGATGGCTCAATGTAAGTCCTCCACCAACGAACACGTTTTAACTACATATACACCTATAGTTGAAGATCAAGGAAGTGATGAGTCTAATAGTGATGATTAACAATCTATGAATTTTTATTACTTTAATTGGATTACTTATAAACTTGTTTATTTTAGATGTATTTTCATAACCAATTATATTTGTTGTTGCATTGGTGTTGTTAATAGTATTTGAAATTGACTCTAACAGGAAAGGGGTTGACAAGAAACAATTTGATATTAATTTGATTTGCCAATTTCTCATGGAATTCTTTTGAAAATTTACATGAGAACTATTTTCACTCAGAAGAAAAATACTTGAATCTGCATTTCCATTTGTTCATTTCTCTCAACATTTTTTGAGATAAAATAGTTCTCACAAAATTTTTTGAGGGAAACTTACCAAACATTGACACTTCATTTGTTCATTTCTCTCGTATATGTTTGTGAGAAATTTTTTCGCTCAAAAATTTTTCAAGAGTCATTCTCTCAAATAGTTGCAAGAGAAAGTGTTTCTCTCATTATTATTTGAGAGAATAGCTCTCTTCAAGAGAACTTTCTCTTTGATATTTTCAGAGAAGTTCTCTTAAAAAGTGGTGACTCTAAAAAGTTATCGTTGATTGTCAACTTTCAGTAGCGACTTATATGTCACCACTGAAACTTAGACCTTTGGCGACGACATGAACTTGTTGTTGTTGAAAGTCTGACAATCAGCATTGACTATATCTTGTCATCGCAGAAAGTCACTATTTTAGCAGCGACTTCAAATGTTGCAGTAGAAAGTCACATTTTCAGCGGTGACTTTTATTGTTGTTGCAAATTGTTCATTTTCAGCGGCAACTTTTTAGAGTTGTTGCTGAAAATTACCGCTAAAAGTTATTTTTTTTGTAGTGCAATAAAGTATTGTGAAACTTTTAGTCTATTTCATACATAGATTCAAAATATTCCCTTTGAGATTGTGCAACTGCTACCTTCTGCCTTCATCAATCTTAGTCTCACAATCTCATAGCTAGCCTTCAACTTTTAGTCTCTATCCCATGCGTCTCTAACCCCAATGAATCGCACATGAAGCTCGAGAGAATCAATTAAGAGCTAAGTTGGTAGAGAATAGGAAATTTTTAAAGAAGATGATGGCTCAATGTAAGTCCTCCACCAACGAACACGTTTTAACTACATATACACCTATAGTTGAAGATCAAGGAAGTGATGAGTCTAATAGTGATGATTAACAATCTATGAATTTTTATTACTTTAATTGGATTACTTATAAACTTGTTTATTTTAGATGTATTTTCATAACCAATTATATTTGTTGTTGCATTGGTGTTGTTAATAGTATTTGAAATTGACTCTAACAGGAAAGGGGTTGACAAGAAACAATTTGATATTAATTTGATTTGCCAATTTCTCATGGAATTCTTTTGAAAATTTACATGAGAACTATTTTCACTCAGAAGAAAAATACTTGAATCTGCATTTCCATTTGTTCATTTCTCTCAACATTTTTTGAGATAAAATAGTTCTCACAAAATTTTTTGAGGGAAACTTACCAAACATTGACACTTCATTTGTTCATTTCTCTCGTATATGTTTGTGAGAAATTTTTTCGCTCAAAAATTTTTCAAGAGTCATTCTCTCAAATAGTTGCAAGAGAAAGTGTTTCTCTCATTATTATTTGAGAGAATAGCTCTCTTCAAGAGAACTTTCTCTTTGATATTTTCAGAGAAGTTCTCTTACCCATTTTGGCAAGAACTTTCTCTTAGATGTTTTTACAAGAAGTTCTCTTGAAATAGTCCGAAAGGAATGTGTTCTCTCAAAATTATTCAAGAGAATAAACCTCACTTATTGAAATTTTTTGAGAGAACATAATTTTACCTATGACATTTTACTCTCATATTTCTCAGGAAAGAATGAGAAAAATTTATCTATGTTGAAAAAAGATAAAAATCAAATAATATATAACATTGTTCATGATATGATACAAATTTACAATTGAATTATATATTTAATTGTTGTTGTTTAATATAATAATCAAATTTGAAAATTGGACTAAAATATTTGTGCGAATATAATTGAAGACTTAAATTTGAAATTTGTTACATTTTAAATTAATTTTATTAAAAAATAATATTTTTAAGTTTCTATGAATATAAACAAATTATAATATATATAAAATGTTTTTAATTATATTAATAATTGAAAATAACATCAAATGTATGAATACGTTTTGAGTTTTAACAATTTAATATTGCTTCATATATAAACACATACTTGTGTAATTAAATAATATATAATTAATTTTTCATATAAAGATTTCAATGCTTTAAACTTCACTGACTGCTAATAATATCTGAAGACATAAAATGTTGACATATGATATATATCCATATTCTAAGAAGGTAGCGATTTGGAATATCAGAGGATGGGACTCTTCAAAATCTAAGCTTCAAGTTATTGATTAGATTATAACAGAAGATTTTAATACAAAATAGTAAAATTTGAAACGATACAAATATGAAAAAAATAATAATAAAACAGTGCAGCAAGGGAATCATAATTTGAAATGACTTAAGGTAGCTAGAGTTGGTAACAAAACAGAGTTCTTGTCAAATAGTTGTGAGAATCATGGAAAGGTGATAAAAATTTCAAATACGCAGCCTTCCACCAGATTTTATATCACCGGATTGGGGAATTTTGATGGAAACAGCTTTGAAAAGATCGGTGCAAAGGGGTAACAGGATGACGCCGGTGAAATAAATAGACGAGATGGTGAAAACATAGAGTGAAAAAACATCCTGCTTGAGGATGTCCTTGAGCAAAAAGAAGAATGCAGCAGAGAAAGAGACGGATATGGAAACGATGGACATGAAGAGGAAACTCAACCCTAAAAGAAGTTTGAAAGGCAAATCTTTGTGAAAATCTCGAGGTTGCTGGCGGGACGTGAGGATGGAGAGGAACAAGATGAGAGAGGTGATGGAGCAGCAGAAAGCGAACAGGGAGGTGCTTGCAAACAATTTGAAAGCTGGGTGGCGTTCTAGGTAAGGTTTGCCGGTCACCTGCTCAGTACCACCAGGGATGGTGATAGCTGTGGTGAAGGCCACACCGGCAATAAGTGCGGCCACGACGGAGCACGACTCCGACGTGCTCTTGAGCCATTCAACGCCTTCTTTGATTAAATCCTTGTGATCTGTTGCAAAAATATCTGCTGGTGTTTGCTGACTCCTATTGCGGAGGAATTGCATTTTGTGCGGCACTTTTTTATTCATATACTACAAAATGGAAGAAAACTTTCATCAATTTATACATGCATGACATAAATGATTGATTCAATTTGGTTAAGGAGGAGTAGGAAATAACACTAGAAAACAAGAAATTTAGGACAGATTTGTAATTGGCAAAATTTTTTGTCACAAATCATTTGTGATGGAAAAGGTGAATTTTTGTCACAAAAAATTGTAAGAAACACTAGTAGGAAAAGTGCTTTTTAAACCAGTGAAGCCTTTCTAAACTGGTTGATTATCAAGACGACTGATTTAGAAAGTAATTAAAAATTTAATTTTTTAAGAAAAATAAAAGCCTTTCTAAACTGTTTGTCAACAAAATCGGTTTAGAGAGTCGAAAAAAAAAAATCAAACAATGTTTCCAAACCAGTTATACAATTATCTAGTCTAGAAAGAATTAAAAAAATTAAATGTTTTATTAAAAAATATCATATTTTAGAACAGTTGTGTAAGCAACCAGTCTAGAAATCTTTTTCTAAACCCGTTATTCATGGAACCGGTTTAGAAAGTCTAATAGCTCGCAACGTAGTTATGAAAATGCCACCCCCTTTACTTCCTAAACCAATGGCATAGCAACCAGTTTAGAAAGCTATTTTTTCGCTAGTGAAAGAAATTCTGTCATAAGAGCACTAATCCGTGTGCTTTTTAAGTAGAATGAGATATGGTACCCGAAACCATTTGACTTCCCACTGCATGTGCACGGCAGCACCAGTAACATGCATGGGCATATAATGGGAGAGCCTGGCAGCCAAGTGGAGGATGGTGTTGCCTTCACTGTCTACGCCTCTGAGGAGCTTTTCTTGCAAGTTCTCCTTTATTTGCCTCATCAGGTACTCCAAAACATGGATTTGCCTGTTTATAACTGCCACATGCAATATATTTTGGCCTATCGAGTTGGTTTTGTACACGACAATGGCCTCTGGTTTATCTTTCAGAATTTTCATCACTATTTCCAGCACACCATTTTTCGCTGCAATAAACAACGCTGACTCCTGTCTCTCCCTTTTATTTTTTACCATCTTTTCTATCCCTGAAAATTAATCCAATGAAGATCCATGGCTCTACCTACTTACATATACAGGGGGAACAGAACACTTCAGGCTCTCTTTCTTCATCTGCTAACTCTTATAATAAATATCTTACTAGAGAGTTCTTAAGTTTATCAATATAGAGAGTTTCTTCCCCAAAAAATCTATAAAGAAGGTGAGAATTTCCTTTATGTTGTGAATTGTGATTTTTAGTCATAATTAATGGTAGACTTGTAGTTTGTGTTGATCTGCAGTAAAAATTTGGTTGCCAACATCTGCACTTTGTTTCGCATCACCGGCAATTGATAAGTGCATAACATCTATTGGATCCAATTTAAAGGTGGGGGCGGATTCTATGTTCAGAAAATTCGCCCGAATTAGAGGGGAGAATGACGAATAACGACCTTATAAAAGTAATAATGTCAAGCTAGAAATCTCTTTATAACTAAAGTTCTCAAATTCAGTATTTTTTTTCCTATGTTTCAATACTAAAATTTAAAAAAAAAATTTAACTTGGCATTAATTTTTTTTTTATGAGGCCCTTACTTGTCATTCTCCCAAATTTAACTGTTTCCAACTTGCCATCCATGATATTTATTGATATTACACATACTACTTTATTGTCTTGAGGCTATTTTCTTGAATGTAATAATTTCTGGTTAGAAAGAATAAGTTAGAGAGTTCTTAAAGTTGATCACTATAGAAAGTTTCTTGCCGGCCCACAATATCTATGAAGATTAGAGAAGGTGATCAGAAATACCTTTATGTTGATGTGATTTTTTTTCCCTGCCAATGTTGTGATTTAGTTATAATTAAAGACTTCCAAGTTTAAAAATTCTACTCTGATATAATTAGGTAGAGTTAGCTTTTAATTTGCGTTGATTCATAGTTTGTTTTCTTTTCAGCTGCATTTATCCAATATTAGAGAAAAATTAAAGTTATTAGTCATATATCTTTCTCATTTCTGAACGTATTGAATATTAATAAGATTAAATAAAAACGACGACAGAAATTACAGGTCTTACAAAATTATACAATTAGAATTAGTAATACGGATATGGCCCCAATCAGCCAAAATGTGGTAAGTTTGGTTGGCAAAATGGGAGTTCATTTAGAGACGGGTTTACCCACATCACTTAATTCCGTGTTCAGTTTCGGGGATGAGCCCCATGGTGCTTAGCACCAAAACACTCTTTTTCTTTTGTTTTTTTATCCAAACCACAAAATTATAATAACAATCATAAATAAATATTATAAAATTATTATTTACATATTTAATAAATAAACATTAATTTGTTAAAACTTGACCCAAACAGTTTAAATAAAATTTTTGTTCTGAACAGTTCAGAACTAAACTGAAAAAATAAAAAAAATGATATGAAGAGTTTAAAATTGGGCTTGAGTCTAACAAAATAAGCTAGTATCTTACAATAATGTGACAAATCAATGTTTAAATTCTCATTAAGAGAAGTACTTATATTTAATACTCAATCATGCCTTGTATGATATTACCTGTCATGAATAAAACTGTGCAAAATCAATAGAATAAAAAAATATTTTATAAAATATTTTTAATTACAGTTCTAATAAGAATATATTATGATTTGAGATATTTAACTTATATTGAGCAATGTGTTTTTATTGTTTTTTTTTATCGTAATTTAAACTTGAATTCAATAAATATACAAGTGTCAAGTATTTAGACTACAATTTTATATATGATTGCTTTGAATTCTTTATTTTAAACTCAGTATCATTCATTTATTTTTTGTCTTTTTTTTTTCAAAATATAAGGTGGCTAACCTATCAACCTACAGATGAGCCCATTATAGATTCAAATTATGCAGTGCAAGTCAAAACCACCCTGTATCTAAATGAACCCATTTTCTTCAACCCAACTTGCCTCTATTTTTGCGAGTTGAACCTATATTACTAGTTCTACCAAAAATTTGCCCACATTAAAGTGTTGCCATCTGTACAATCAATGGTGATATCACACACACACACATGTACACACACAAAAATTGATTATTTTGAGGCTACTTTATTTTCTTGAATGAAATCATTGTTGGTTAGAAAGAACAAGTTTAGTTTTTGAGAATATACATCCTTCCCAAACTATATGTATTATGATGACAGAACCAAGTCTTTTAAAAAAGCCGATTAAGCATCCCATACTATATAATGTGTGACCCTGTATCTAATGCTATTTTAAGTCTCCATTACTTTGTCAGTCCCTGCATTTTAATGAAGAAAAGAAAGAATAACAAAAGATCAATACCTTCCTGGTCATCGGTTTGATGACTAGGTTTGGGTAATATGATATTTGGTTCGTGTATCAACGAAGAAGGGGAGTCGGTTACGGTTCCAGCTCCAACGTATGCTACATCTTTATACCTCCAAATTTCATCAAGTATTTGACGGCACCAAACGTGCTTTTGTTTCTTCCTCCTCAATGTCCTTTATTACCTCTAATCCTTAATTAATATATATAAACAAGATAATTAAGCCAATTGCGAATAACAGAATTAAAAGTACCATCAATTATTTATTAGCACAAGCTAGCTTTTTATTAGATACCTAGGTAGAGAACGAGAGTGTACGTACGTACCATCGGGTCCAAACAACATAAGTCCATAGAGCCAAACAAAAGGGTTGATTGCAGGCATGAAAATGTCAACAACAAAACAGGTGAATGCAGTCATGAAAATGCACATGTCACAGCATGTCCAATAACTTTTTGGAACAACATTGTCATATTCATTGATGTGATAACTTGGGTTTTCTGCATCCACTATGCTTTCGGGAAGAGCTACGACAAAACATGAACTTTGTTTAATTTTCAGATCATAATTATAAAGCAAAATTAAGATAAACAAATAAAATACTTTCTTTCATGAACATGAACTTGCCAGTCTGCTGGGATTTTGACAGATGGTAGGTGCTCCTCTACGGTTTCACGTATATGCCTTCCGCATGAAAAAGAAAATTTTATCAATATGAGCAATAATTGCTCCCTCCATTCTTTTTTATTGGCCAAAAGAGACAAGAGTTGGATTTTACTATTTATAAAAGCATACAATTAACAAAATTTAGATAGCAATTAATATGATTTTTCAATAATACCCTTACAAAAATAAGGCCTTAGTTGATAATTAAGAGTGTGTGAGAAAGATTCAATTAAGGGCATTTTCGGAACGGAGGGAGTATAATTAAGTGATGCATACATGCATACTAATGATGAAGAGGTCAATTATGTTTGTTATACTCTTTTGGCCCTATTTATAAGATAGAGATAGAAAATTAATTTTAATCCTATCTATAGAGCACTTAATTATTTTCTATATTCATTGTGTATTTGTTACGCCTTTATTAAATTATAGAAAAAAATTATTAAAAATAATTTTTTTTGTCTTTATTAGGAAAAAAAAGTAAGAACTTATTAAATTTTAAGACATAATTAATAAAATTTAAGATTTTTTTAATTTTAATAAAATATGCTGACTTATAAATAAAATCAAATGAAGTACTTACACTTGTATGCGAACTTGGCATACCATCTAAAATTGCTGATGCTGCTCTCGAAAGCAGAAGGTTTGGCGGCCATGATATGGAGAGGGGTGACTCCCTTTTCATCGATAGAACCCACAGTTTCCCATTGGTACAGTTTAATGATTTCAAATGCCAACTCTGTGAATATGTATACGTGAGCATGAATTCATTAAAGGCATTAATAAATAAATAAATCATTAATTATTTGTAAATGTATAACAAGTCTGCTTCCTCCTACAATACTTACGAGTCAAATTTAGAAATTTAGAAATTTACAATTTATTGCATCAACTTTTCAGAATAGTATTTAAATTAAAAAGTATTAATCCACAAGTAAATGAAACTTTCACATATAAACTACACATAATCCAAAATACAGTTATTAAACTACAAAAAGGACAAACTGCTTATTTTTGTTTTGTTTTGTTTTGTTTTGTTTTTTTACTCAAGTTAGTGTCATTGCAAGCTTAGCAAAGGGAGCAAACCGAAAAAAAATATAAGGATAATAAAAAATTTAGTCCTTCAAATTTTTTCTCAATTATCGATTTGACTCTTTATATTTTCTTAAATTATCATGTAAGTCATTTAAGTTTTTAAAATAATCTAATGTGTAAATTATACTTCCTTTGTTTAAAAATGTAAGGCATTTTTAATTGAATCTCACCTCCAATAAAGTAATTACCTACTTTTAAACTAACCCTATCTTTTCATGTTTACCACTATTAAACACCCTATAATAAATATGATGCCCACAAAAATTAAAGACACTGCAAGTGTGTGGGTTGCAATTGAAGCTAGTGGTAAATCAAGGTCAATCCCTTAGGAAATTAATTAAAATGGCATTTAGGTATTAATTTTCCAAATTCATTCACGTTAAGCTAATAAAATTAGAGATTAATTTTAGAATAATTAAAATGAAAATATTAAAATTAATTAATTAAAAATAACTTTCAATCCACAAACAACTAAAATCAACCAAGAGAAGAGAGTTCTAGAGTTCTAATTCCCTATTTGCTTCCTAACCTTCTCATTACCACGTTAATTGCCTTAAAATTCACTTTTGATAATTCGGGAATCTAAATTAATCCAAAGTATCTTTTGATCATTAAGGATCCTAATTAATTCAATTAAAAAAAATTATTACCTTAACTAATTAATTGTATTAGAGACCCTAACATATACGTGAGGATTACCTAGGTCCATTAGATACATTCTTGTTCTAATGGCAAATTAGTTAAACTAATCCTAGGCTACTAGTTCTCAAGGTCCAATTTGATTTCCTTTTTCAAAGTTTAACCCAAATGCCCAAATCTCACCTAGTGGTGGCCAATTACTAAATAAGAACAAAATAGCTTAAGAACAAGTAATCAAAACTTTATTTCTCAACAACTAAATGGTAAATACAAGGTCATTTACACAATAGGTTCATAGTCCTTTAG